GGGGAACAGTTCCCCTAGGGCTAAAGTCTCCTATGGGAGCAAGTGGAGCTTAGGGGGACTGGCATTCCTGGCCATGCTCCACTACAGATGCTCCTGCACCAAACCCTCTGGGCTCCACACTTGCTGAAGTGCTGCCCCTACCATTTATCTAAGCAGCTCTCCCTGCCAATCAAGTGGCTGTGGTGGTTGATGGGTCTCCTTCTGCCGGGATTCCAGAGACCCATGGTGAAAGCAGGTTGCTCCTTGCCAGTTCAACTCACCTGTTCCCCAGGAGCTGGGGTCCATGAATGAGTGTCCTGATGGGAAGTAGCCCTGTGCAGGATTCCCAGCTTCCTCCCTCTTCCACCCAGCTTCTGTGTCTTCCCTCTGTCCACTCTCCGTGCCCTTTCTCTACAGATCTGTTAGGAGTGTGCCAGTCATCCCAGTCTTCAGTGGCAGCTGTTCCACCTGGCTGTGTCTAGTCAGTCATCTTGCCCAGCTCCCATATCATTCTTTACATTTTCATAATGTTGGACTGACTATTTTTTATGACAATCTGACCCACTAAAAATTCTTATTGTGGGTAAGCATCTGTACTTAAGATATTTATTTAATTCATATGGAAGGAAAAATTGTACTTCTAGTTAAGATAAATACATGATGGAGACATAGGAAAAGACAGTCTTAACCAGGGATAGAACATAGCACCAAGATACTACTCTTTGGTGTTCAATACTTAATATATATACTAATATATTAAATATTATTAATGAAACATTGTTACTGTGGGTTATTAAGGCTAGATGTTTTCATTTAACTGGATTAAATTTGAAAGAACTATTGGCCCTGACTAAATTAATATAGGACGTGAATGTTTGTAGGAAGGTTTTAGGCTTCCTCCAAGAAGCATTTTTTGGAAAAGAACTATCTTGACCACAGATTGCCTGGACTGGAATTGTAAGCACATGGTAGGCTGAAGATACAGACTCTACGTGCATTCATTACTCATGTTCAAAGATCTATAGCATAATTTTCTGTATTTAATTAATAGCAATGAACATTTCCATCACCCTGCAAATAAATAGAAATATAGTTCATTTAATAGATAAATATGATAAACTATACACCCAGGTGGCATTTGATAACAAGAAAAAAGCCATTTTCTCTGGCAAACAGGAAATGGGATTTACTTTCTTATTTTTTTTAAGAAGAACATTGTTTCTACCATCAGTCTCCTGATTTCAGCCAATGATTTCAGTTAATGATCCCCGTAGTCTTTCTCTATTTTAAATCATATTAGTTTTAGATGCTGAGAAAAATTGCTGCATATCCACTAAATTTGTGTGTGGCACTTTATATTTCTATTATTTAGCAATTTAACAATACAATCCTCAGGGATTAGGAATCAGTTTCACTCCTCATAGAATGTCTATATTACTATCATTATCTACAGGATAACCTAAAACCTTTGAATATAACTACTTTGTTACTATTACTAAATAAATTCATAAAGTCTTTAAGTTAGTTAACCCCACCACTATCCTGCCTTCTTAAGGTGGTATTTTATAAAAGAATTCCTCATTGTGTTGGGAGAGACAACCTTGCGTAAAGAAAAGACCAAGACATTTCCAATTTTGTCTCCCCCTCTACCACTTACAAACAGTGTTACCTTGGGTAAGTGCTTACTGCTCTCAAGTGTTTTCTTCAGTGCAAACCAGAAGGTAATAAAGCCTGCTCTCATAGTACTTATGATTGGGATAAAACTAAAGAGATGTCATACATAAAGTAAGTGGCAGATATTGGATGAGAGGATTATAAAGTATAAAGCTTGAATGTTCTATTAATTCTGATTACTCTAACAATGCATGTTAAGTACCTAAGAAAATCGTTTTCACAAAATCAAATACTACAAGATTTATACGATACATTTGTGACACAATGGTAATTTTTAATACCTGTCACAAATCTACTGTCTTCCACAAATATATGCAGTTAAATCATGATCAGTTTTGGCTAGTTTGGACACAGTTATCAAATCCTCAAATTAAATATTAATTAAAGACTATTGTTCAGGTTTATATGAGTAAATTCCCAATAGGCCTAAGTTTTTGCAAAATAAATGTAGGTTTTTAAATCCCTAATATGCGGGTTCATGAAATACCTTATTGGTGAATAGTTATAGTCAAAATTAAGTCCATCCTACTAAATTTAATATTAAAGAAGACTCTTGAGATTACATTTTCTTCTCTCCTAGGTCATCTCACAGACATATATTAATACTAAACACTATTTTAAAATACTGTTTTTAATATTTTTAAAATTTATTTTGATACATATTCTCCAGGTACATGTGATAAATAATTTGATATACTCTTATAATCAAATCAAGGTAACTGGGATCTCTATTACAATGTGTTTAATCTTGGAACAGAGATAATTTTACTTTGATACGAAGTTCTTCATTTTCTCAAATATTTTTTCTAAATATTTATATACATTTTAAGAAGCCAATGAAATAAAATACTTTCTACCATCTCTACGTTCTCTCTCCTCACTCTATTTTCAACATTTTTTGTTTGTATTTGCTTCTATTCTGAAGCAGCAACAGTGCTTATTAAGAAAGGACTCTCGGGCTGGTCGCGGTGGCTCACGCTGGCACTCCTCAGGCGGATCACCTGAGGTCGGGAAGTTGAGACCAGCCTGACTAAAATGGAGAAACCCCATCTCTACTAAAAAAAAGATTAAAAAAAAGAAAATTAGCCAGGCATGGTGGCACACGCCTGTAACCCCAGCTACTCAGAAGCTCAGAAGGCTGTGGCAGGAGAATCGCTTGAACCCCAGAGGCAGTGGTTGCAGTGAGCCGAGATCGCACCATTGCACTCTAGCCTGGGCAATAAGAGCAAAACTCCATCTCAAAAAAAGAAAAAAAAAAAAATGGATTCTCTAAAGGGAGTAAACTGGTACTTGCCACTACAGATTGAGAGATAAATTACAAGAGTGCCTAACTGTTCGCTACTGGCTGAAGTATTAGGTTGGTGCAAAAGTAATTGTGGTTTCTGTCTTTTTAATGTGCAAAACCCGGAATTACTTTAGCACCAAACTAGAAGGGGGAGAAGAATAAAAGCCATGTGGAAATTCCCCTCTTCTTTTTTCTGTCTCCCTGGATCTTGTGGAGAGGAGGCAATTAGCAGGAATATAAACCCAGTATAACTTCAGCCCTGTGGAGAAATATAATCTGAGCCCTTACAGCTACTTTAACCTTACTAGACTAATTATAAAGTCCCCAAATAAAGCTCGAAGGGCTATGAAACCACAAACTCAAAAACAAATTACTAATTTCTTTAGAAACCATCTATCTTCTTCCCTATTACTCATCCAGACTTGATTTTAAAGATTGGTTTTTCCTCTCTGAGGCACTTTTATTGAACTCAAAACAATTTTCAACACAGGTGAGAAATTTTAGAAAATTTAGATTTGAGTTATCCTTGTTATATGCTATTATTACCTATTAATAATAATGATACTACTTATGGCATCATAGCACCATGTTAAGAGCTTTACTCACATTAATGTGTTTAGCCATCACTATAGCACTATGACCAGGTAGCATGATTCTCCCTATTTTACAGAAAAGGAGAGAAGCTTGATGAGCCTAAGCAAGCAATTTGCTTTTAGCCATTCAAATTGAAAGTGCTAAGACTTGCACCCACATCTGTCAGACTCCAAAACTTATGTTCTTAACCCCAATCTATATTATTTTATGTTTACTTCTGAACGCGATCACTGATAAGCAGAGGGGTGAGATCCTCAAAGATTCGTGAAGTTACTGGCAACCAAGATCCTAATACTTATCTAATCTGTTCCCCAACCTCTGTCATCACTCATATGCACACTTTTTTTCTTTTCTCCTCTTCTTAATGCAATAGACTGAATGTTTTTCCCTTCAAAATTTATACATTGAAACCTAATCCTCAACGTAATGATAGGTGGAGCTCGTATGAGTGGGATTAATGCCCTTATAAAAGAGACCCCAGAGATGTAGTTAGTTCCTTCCATTGTGTGGTGACACATTGAGAAGGCTCTGCCTATGAACCAAAAAGCAAGTCCTCAGTAGATACTAAATCTTCTGGTGCTCTAATCTTGGACTTCCGAGACTCCAGAACTGTGTGAACTGTGAGAAATAAATTTCTGTTGCTTATAAACTACTCAGTTTATGGTATTTTGTTATAGCAGCCTGAAAAACTAAGAATATATATATATTGGGAATGGGAATACTTTATTTTATATATTTTAAGGGAATGGGAATATTTTATTTTATATATATTTATTTAATATATTATATATAATGGAAATGGGAATCTTTCATTTTAATGAGGAAGCATGGGGATGGATATATCATTAAATATTTTATATTTATATTTAGTGATATCTCCATTCCCATACTTTCTCACAAGGTAACCTGTGTTCCTGTATTCTTCCATACATTTTTCTATGTTCTTACTACTATTTATCACACAATCATCTATCATATGACTATTGTACAACTATGCACACTCATACATATAGATTTTCAGATTAGATGTTTTCATAAACATTTGATCATTCTTTAAACATCCTCAGTTTTTTTTCAGGTAAAAATAATTAGGGAAGTGTGGAGCAGGTAAATAATATTTTATTTCCTTGGTGTTTATTTACAAATTAAAATGACCCTTGAGTAAGGTAAATTACTCAAATCATAATCTTATATTTCAGAGGTTTCCATATATTGCCATCATATTTTTGACAATAATGATTTTGGAATACTAAGCAGGCCTATACCTGATTTTACTACTAAGAATATAAATCCAAGTATGGTGGGCTTTCAGAGGAACCTAGCTCTCTGCCAGGCTAAGACAATCATGTTGAAGAATCATGCTCTGGAGATGATAGAGATCCTTGATGTATCAAGACTGGCCTTAAATGTTAGGGATCTTCTTTTTAATGTCAGGAAAATCATGTGATACTCATTAGTAGTCACTTACCTTTGGACCAGGTAATCCAGGTAACCCAGGATTTCCATGTGGCCCTGGTATGCCCTGCAAGTAGTGAAAAAAGTCATCATTCTTGGAACATATTGGAAGGGAACAATGTACAATTGCTTACTTTCCTGTCAACATGTGTTATCCCTTTCTACATCTGAGTTTTTGCTTATGTTATTATATATGCCTTAAAGACCTATTTCCTTTAGTTTATCCCCTATACCTACCCAAATTATTCTTCAGATGTCAACTCATTTTTAAATCCTAGTCACAAGAACATGAAGCAATATCTTTTTCCTACTAACTTCTATAGAAATTTCTTCATGTAAAATTCATTTGCCAAGTAATTGTATATTGCCTCGGGACATTTCTTATACTGTTCTAATCTGTTGCTTAAATACTTTATTGCTGTTCTAACTACCTTATGACATGTTCTATTTAGCCCCAGGATTATAAATTCTTTGAAAAGAGACTCTTAAAAATATTACTAGTGTAGTACTTAACACATTGAATGGCTACACTTGATTAATATTTAGCAATTTGATTTTGCATCACTGATAAATTATATAATCTGAATTCAAAACTTGATTCCATTTCTGAGTACCTACTATGTGCTAGGAACTGTTAATGTTTTGTGCCTCTCATTACTAATCCTTATAACAATCCTGCAAGGTTATTATTTTTACTCCCATTTAAAAATCAGCTCATACAACCAGTAAGTAGAGGAACAGGTCACCCTATCCAAGAAAGGCTTCCATGTCTCCAGGCTCCCTATACTTACTTCAATTTTGCACCCTACTTCTGTGCTCTTCAGTCATACCTCCCTCTTAACACATAACATATAGTTAATAATTATTTGTCTCTTCAATTCTGAATTAATAGAGCAGAATGCTTCAGAAAGGCAGAGATGTCAGCAATGTGAATATTGAAAATACGACTAGCAAGATGAAAACTAAAGAAAAAAGATTAAATTTTGGCTGGGTGTGGTGGCTCACATAGTAATTCTAGCACTTTGAGAGGCCAAGGTGGGAGCATTACTTGAGCTCAGGAGAGACCAGCCAGGGCAACACAGCAAGACTTCATCACTACCAAAAATCAAAAAAGTTTGCCAGGCATGTGGCCCGCACCTGTAGTCCCAGCTACTCAGAAAGCTGAGGTGAGAAGGTGGCTTGAGCCCTGGAGATCAAGGCTGCAGCGAGCTATGATACCCATCACTGCACTCCAACCTGGGTGACAGAGTGAGACCCTGTCTCACACACACACACACAAAAATGGTTAGATGTTACGACTTATGTTATTGGTAGCCTTCGAAAAGTACATTTTAATAAAGTATATGTAAAACATTTATGGGGATTAATGAATAAGTTGCTTATCTAAAAGTAAGGACAATGGATATAAATTATTATTTCACAAAGCTCAGTAATGCAAACAACAGTGAGCCAAAACAACAGCTTTAGGAAAAATTAATATCAATGAAAGTTTGGGATTTATAAAAGAGGGTTAACTAGTTGGTTGTTGCCAAATAATATAAAATTTACAGAGAGAAAACATGTGAAGCTGCAAATTTTAAGTTAGATAAGGTGAAATTAGGAACCCAAGTAAAATAATTCACCTTGAGAAAAACACTCTTTCTTCCTTAAGGGAATGAGAATTGGACAAATAAATGGAAGATAAAAAGTAAATTATGGAAGGAAACTGCTGTATTATGAGAACAGATGGAGATTCCGAACCTGAAGTTCAGGCTGTTGAGAGAACAACCTTAGCAATGGATAGGGAATAGAATTAGTATGAAAATGGGCCCAGTTTCTCAGAGAAGTAGGATCCAAATTCTCACAGAGAGGTAGGAGGATGGGAATGGTTCATGGGCTAGAGGAGAATGAGCAAGATTTAGGAAGGGCTACACGAGAAATGTGATAGGTCATCAACTACAGAGAATTTGTTTTAATGCAAAACAGCTAGAGCCCAGTGAGAATTCATCTTAGGCCTCAAATGGACAAGAGTTTGATGTGACTATGGACAACTTAAGGTAATATTTTAGAGTAATTTTTTGTTTATAGTCTTCGTATGTTAAATAAAAATCAGAATAAAAACAAAGTGGATTATATAAAAGGTATTTGCATTTGTCATACAATTCTTTTTCTAACTTATTGAACAAAGGCGTTTTGTAGTAAAATATGCACACTTTTTTTAGGTTTGAAAGAAACTAATTTTAACACAGCAATAAGTCTTTTGTTGGGCCTGTGTAATGTGAAAAACTACTGCTGATCTTTAATGCAGCTTTTTCCCTCAGGGCAGTTATTTTCTAGTCAATAGCTTCAGAATTTTCCACTATGTAATCCAGGAATGTACTGTTTTAAGGCAGCCCACTCCTCTTCATTTCCCCAAACAAATGAACCTCACCTTAGACTACTGCAATCACTTTATAAGTAAGAATAATGTTACAAGTAGTACCAGAACAACCACTAATTTACAAATTTGATCATCTTTGTTGGACACGTTCACGGAGAATGCTTTGGCTGTGTGTTTACACTCAAAATAAACTAGGCTACATGTGTTCTTAAACTTCTCTTGAATTGGCTAAGGTAGGACTAAGTTTGAAGATCCAGGCAGGTTTCCAAAGGAAGTACATACTGTACAATACTAGAGAAAACATATTAGAAAGTTAAAAATTCTCACTGCCAGCAGGAAACGTAGCCCATCTACTTACCCGTGGACCTCTCTTCCCTGACGGACCTGGGATACCTGCTGGACCAGGTGGACCCTTGGAAAACAAATGCCAAGACATTAGGCATGATAGTAGATGCATTTTTTTTTCTTACAGGTCTTAATAAGATTTCCACCCAAAGACAACTCTTTCTCAGTTCCCAGTTCCCAGCTGATGATGATTTTTAAGTAACATAAACCCCCTTACCCTAATCGGCAGGGGTGAGTTGAAACTCAAGTGTCCTCTTTAATCGGGTCAGAAATGGCAGCAGGAAGTCTATGACTTATGGTTACAGCCACCGTATCTGGTTTTTAAAGGGACCACAACTAGTAGTTTTGTGGGTAATTTTTTACCTAAATTTACTTTCACTGTGGAAGGAGGAATTCAATTTAGGGTTTGGAGACCAGCAACTACAAGGTTTTTTCAAACACAATTGAAGATTTGCTTTGAAAAATGAAAGCACTGGCCATTTTATGTTCTTTTAAAAGAATTATACCAAGGATCTGTGTAACGTGTTAAACTGTTATAATGAAATTCTTCTTGTATATCCATTAATAAATCTGACTTACACCAATTGCAGCACACCAGGAAGTCACTAATAGAATTAAATGATTTATAAAACAAACTAAGAAAGCAAAAACTGATCAATTGTTAAAGTGTTCTGAGTTATTTAAATGTTAATTTTTAAATATATCAAATAAGAAATAGGACACTACTTCTTTACTTCTCCATATAATGTTTTATGTTGTCTTCTTTACTTTAACGATCAACTCTGGAAGAATAAATGCTCATTTGTGATATGGTTGAACACATATTCATTCATTCATCTGTTCATTCATTCAATTGTTACTGAGCACTCTGAGATATGGCATTGTTCTTGGTGTCTATAGAGCATACACATACTCCATTCAACAAATATTCATTCATTATTGCAGTAAAAATAGTACACACTGCCAAATTCGACACATCAGGGTTAAAATACTAGCCTCACTAGTAACAAGGACTGTGACCTAATGTGCTTTATTTTTCTTCATTGTAAAATGTTTATATATCTATGCTGATTGCACATAAAATAAAGAGATGAATCCAGGTTAAATCATATGTACTTGCCAATACATGACAGTTTTTTAACCTACAATTTCATAATTTCATACAGTTTAAACTGCAGCATGGCCAGGTACACCTAAAATGTACACTGAATTTCAAAGGAGGAGAGGGAAAATGGATTGATGGGAAAGGATCATTCCAATTCAAAAACGCAGAGGGAAATGAGTAAATTATGTTGAAAAAAATAACAGTTATTTTACATATTTCTCATCTCACTTTTTTGATATTAACTACTCCTTGAAACTTTCTCTTTTATTAGAGTCATTTGCAGTTTTCTGATCTTCATTATATATTTCAGACTGTCCATGTTTTTCCTTTAGTTGTATTTTTTCTTCTCTTACCCCCTAAATTTATAAAACTTTTCATGTATTTCCTAATACTGAGAGAGAAATGCTATTTCTATTCAGCCCCTAACTGAGGGCATTCTCCTTCCTCAGCTGTTCAAATATTTTAGCAGCCATTATCATACCACTAGCTTCCATCAAATCTTGATTTTCACTCATTATCAAGAAAAATTGACTTTCTTTTCAAGTCAATTCTGGTCCTGTTGTTATAATCAAAAAGTTAGCAGCTATTGATTTGAATTTAATTTCCCAAAATATAAGAGCCAGTAGGAGAAATTGCAACTAAAATGAAAAAGAAAATGGAAAGTTTTCTTTAAAAATGTCTAGTTTGGTTTAGTGCCCTGTCTCACTATTTGTGACAAAAGAAAACACTATTCCATTCACATCAGAAAGGCAGTTTGCTATGGCTTGCATTTGTGTCTCCCCAAAATTCATGTGTTGAAATCCTAAACAAAGTGATGGTAGTAGGAGATGGGGACTTTGGGAGGTGATGGGTCAGGGATTAGTGTCCTATAAAAGAGGCATAAGGGAGTTAGTTCATTTTCCTCTTCCACCATGTAAGGACACGGCACGAAGGTGCTGTCTATAAACCAGAAATCAGGCCCTGACCAACTACCAAATCTGCCGGCACCTTGATCTTCAACTTCCCAGCTTCCAGAACTGTGAGAAATAAATTTCTATAGTGTATAAGCGTCCTAGTTTATGGAATTTTGTTATAGAAGCCTGAACTAACTAAGATGCAATTAACATTAGACACTGGGGGGAAAAGAAGGTATATTTTATGTCATGATTTAAATATTTGAATTGTTTAATAAGCACTAAATTAAAATCAATTCTCACGTCTTCATAATTTTGCGGTTTCAAAATCTTTGATAACATATTATTAATAGGCATTTTCTAGATACCAGAAAAGAAAGATAATTTTTATAGCATGACATTTTTGAGGAGAATAAAACTTTCTATAAATAAGGTTAAGTACTAAGAAAGGCACTTTAACGTTCAGATTATTTGTTATTAAGAGAAAGTACAATTCGATTTAAAGAGCAATGGTTTTGCAATCATACAATGTAGATTCAAATCATGCCTCAATCATTTACTTCCTGAATAACCTTGGATTAGTCAGTTACCCTTTCTAAGCCTTAGTTTCCTCATCTTTAAAATATTGATGATAGAAATTTACCTTTCAGGGTTATTGTGAGTATTAAAGCTGTTGTATATAAAATACCTGTCGCTGTGCCTGGCAGTGATAGTAGTTAACCAGTAAACTGTAGCCTAATTGACCTTTTTTTTTTTTTTTTTGAGACGGAGTCTTGCTCTGTCACCCAGGCTAGAGTACACTGGCATGATCTCGGCTTACTGCAATCTCCCCTTGTTGGGTTCAAGCAATTCTCCTGCCTCAGCCTCCTGAGTAGCTGGGATTACAGGTGCGTGCCACCACGCCCAGCTAATTTTTTTGTATTTTTAATAGAGACGGGGTTTCACCATGTTGGTCAGGCTGGTCTCAAACTCCTGACCTCGTGATCCCCCCACCTCGGCCTCCCAAAGTGTTGGGATTACAGGTGTGAGCCACTGTGCCTGGCCTAATTAATTTTTTAAGGTATGCATAAGGCACAGCAATCACTGAGTAAATGTTAGATATCATTATTACGAGGGTAATATATACATTAAGGTAAATCTATTTGATAGATCAATACTTCTAAAATATAATAACCCCTGGTCAGTTAACATTGGAAATCCTGCATCTTAAATTCCTTTTTGAATTTATTCATTCACTCACTCAATAAATATTATAAAGCATCAAGCCCTCCTGGAGTTTTCAGTCTAGAAAAAAACACATACATTAACATATAAACACGCAATTACAAATTTTACTTAGTGATATGGAGGAAAAGAAAAGGCAATCAAGAAAGAGGTTAACATAGTGGACCTAATTTTTATTGTGATGTCAGAGAAGGCTGTTCTGAAGAAGTATTTAGTTAGACCTAAAAGATTAATAGGAGCTAGAAAAGAGAAGAAAATAAAATTCCAGAAGATAGGAATAAATGAATGAGGGCATGAGTAAAACAAAACAAATAAAAGACACAATCATTTTGAGGAATTAAAAGAAAAACTAATAGAGTAAGGGGAAAAGTGGGGCAAGAGGCAGTTGTAGAGGAAAGCAGGGGCCAAATCACATACCTGCACAGGTCAGGATACAGAGTTTGAGTTTAAGTGCTATAACCTTCTTCCACTGAAGGATTTAAGCTGATAAATAATGTTATCTGATTCATGTTTGTAAAAGATCACTAGAGAATTTTGGTAAAAGATATCAGAGTGAGAAGATTTTTCAGACTACTCTCCCTCCCTCAAAATCAGCTATAAACAACAAGAAGCACCAAAAGAAGAAAACATCATATCCTCTGAAACAAGGAAAGGATCATAACCACAAACCACAAAATGTGAAGATTATCTGCCCAATACTGAGGAACTTTGGAGCGAAGGTGTTGAGAGATAACCAAAACCAAAAACCTCCTCAGACTTCAAATCTTGGATACATATTCATCTTCAAAATCCACTTCAACAATTTTTTGATTATGATAAGGCTTAAGGGAATGGGCCACAGGAAACATGATTCATGACCCAGTAAAAACCCAACTTCAAAGAGCCAAGAGTAGAAAAGGTGGAGCTGAAGAAGAAAATACCATTTTTATGATCCACAACCAGAACCCTCTCTGGTGAGAGGGGACAAAAGACAAGAAGAACACAAATCACCCTATCACTTCTGAGAGAACCTGTGATACAAAAGGCTTCACAACAAATTGTGTGTGAACATGAGAGGACACATGCCTCTGGGTAAAAGATACAACAAATATGGTAAGATGGTGTTTCAGGCAGCAATCTAAATTTGAGTCTGTGTACCATTCCACCTTACTTTCCTATGCCTCTCCCTATACCATTCTGAAACAAGTCACCCAGATAGAGTTGCCTTTATTTTAAAAATGAATAATAACCAGAGAGCAATCAGTAGAGGATTTATAAATAGATGCTGGGAGGAAGGGAAAAGTGAGAGGACAGGAAAATAAATTTAAAGAACAAAGCTGGAGGCCTCACGCTACCTGACTTCAAACTGCAAGGCTACAGTAACCAAAACAGCATGGTACTGGTACCAAAACAGATATATAGACCAATGGAACAGAACAGAGGCCTCAGAAATAACACCACACACCTACAACCATCTGATCTTTGACAAACCTGACAAGAACAAGAAATGGGGAAAGGATTCCCTACTTAATAAATGGTGCAGGGAAAACTGGCTTGCCGTATGTAGAAAGCTGAAACTGGATCGCTTCCTTACATCTTATACAAAAATTAATTCAAGATGGATTAAAGACTTAAATGTTAGACCTAAAACCATAAAAACCCTAGAAGAAAACCTAGGCAATACCATTCAGGACATAGGCATGGGCCTATGACTTCATGACTTAAACACCAAAAGCAACAGCAACAAGAGCGAAAATAGACAAATGGGATCTAATTAAACTAAAGAGCCTCTGCACAGCAAAAGAAACTACCATCAGAGTGAACAGGCGACCTACAGAATGGAAGAAAATTTTTGCAATCTACTCATCTGACAAAGGGCTAATATCCAGATTCTACAAAGAACTTAAACAAATTTACAAGAAAAATCAAACAACCCCATCAAAAAGTAGGCAAAGGAGATGAACAGACACTTCTGAAAAGAAGACATTTGAATAAATGACATCTGAAAAAACAGACACATGAAAAAATACTCATCATCACTGGTCATCAGAGAAATGCAGATCAAAACCACAATGAGATACCATCTCACACCAGTTAGAATGGTGATCACTAAAAAGTCAGGAAACAACAGATGCTGGAGAAGATGTGGAGAAATAGGAACGCCCTTACACTGTTGGTGGGACTGTAAACTAGTTCAACCATTGTGGAAGACAGTGTGGTGATTCCTCAAGGATCTAGAACTAGAAATCCCATTTGACCTGGTCATCCCATTACTGGGTATATACCCAAAGGATTATAAATCATGCTACTATAAAGACACATGCACACGCATGTTTATTGTGGCACTATTCACAATAGCAAATACTTGGAACCAACCCAAATGTCCATCTATGATAGACTGGATTAAGAAAATGTGGCACATACACACCATGGAATACTATACAGCCATAAAAAAGGACGAGTTCATGTCCTTTGTAGGGACATGGATGAAGCTGGAAACCATCATTCTGAGCAAACTATCACAAGGACAGAAAACCAAACACCACATGTTCTCACTCATAGGTGGGAATTGAAGAATGAGAACACTTGGACATAGGGTGGGGAACATCACACACCAGGGACTGTTATGTGGTGGCGGTAGAGGGGGGGGATAGCGTTAGGAGAAATACATAATGTAAATGACGAGTTAATGGGTGCAGCAAACCAACATGGCACATGTATACATATGTAACAAACCTGCACATTGTGCACATGTACCGTAGAACTTAAAAGTACAATAAAAAATAATTCTACTTAGTACCATTCTTTTAACATGAATATTGTTTTAACATTAATTCACTAACAGCAACCTTTTTATTAGCACATAATGAAGAGAATAATTGTTAATGTGAAAAAAAAAGAAAATTATTTACCAGAAGAGGAATGACTTCATATAGCAGATAAAGAGTTCAGTTACATAGTTCACTACATATTCAAAGAATGTCAACATGACATTAATCTTCAAAAATAAAGCTCAAGAGTTGTGAAAGATTTTAAAAAATGTGAAAGATTTAAAAAAAAATGAAAGAGAAAAAAAGAAACTCTTTGATGAAAACCATGTCAGAGCAATAAAAACTAATTAAATAGAATTTAAAAATCAATGAAGGGATAGGAATATATAGAATAAATGAGTTCACACAAAAGGAAATGGAAAAGAGCAATCATGATGACACAGTTGTAGAGAAGATAATAAATACCATTCATCATCACAAATGACATTTGACATACACAAGCTTGTATGCCTGAAGAATTTAGAAAAATGGAACCAAGCAATATTTGGTTATTAAAAGGTCTTTCTATAACAAAAAATAATCTTCTGATCAAAAGAGTATTCCCCCAAAAACCTGATTCAGAACCTAATAGGTTTAAAGAACTTCAAAGATATAGAACTGCATGGTATATAGGCAGGAAAAAATTGTCACCTAAAAGTAGGAAAAACCAGGCTGGCTTCAGGCTTTTCAGTCACATCTACTTCAAGAAGCAGTGAAACAATTCCTACAAGTTCATTATTTTATCACCATTCAGTCTCTCATTAGCTCTCTAAAATCTACCTTTAGTCTTCTACATTGTGCTGAAGTTAGGATTCTCAAAGTTCTACAATGACTTTTTCACCAAAATATTTAACAGATTACCCCTTTTTCTCAGTCCTCATTCTCTTTGACTTCTCTCTTTTGGCTGTGCTGATCAATTCCTTCTCAAAAGTCTCTTCTTTGGCTTTTTGATATTGCTTCTTTTATATTTTGATATTACTATTCTTTTCTCCTGTCTCTCTGACTTCTCATCACATTTTTGCTTTTTCTTTCTATAACCAAAAAGCAAACATCCCCCTGATTTGACTGGTGACCCTATGCCACATTCCTCTCTTTGAAAATCTATCCAACTCTAGAGTTTCAACTATAATATCAATAGGAATACTCCCAAATCTATATCCCCAGCCTCGACATCTCTTCTTTACTTCAGCTTCTTCAACTCTTCTAACAGCTGAATTACCAACAGTTCTTTAAATGTTTCATTTTTCTCTCCTAAAATTGACTTTTCCTCTTAATTACAGTTTTTAATAATGATATCACCATGCTCTCAACCTGCAGGCTTAAAATCTGATAGTCATCTTTTATTCTTTTCCTTTTTGCTTGCTCCCTAGGTCCCATTAATTTCCTAGTTCTACCAAATCTTCCTCCAAAATCTCTTGAATCCGACTTTTCCTTTGCATTTTCACTGCTGCCAACCTAGATAATGTTCTAGGCCTTTAACACCAAGATGGTAACAGAAACTTCCTATCCTTGGCACTGTTACCAGACCGACTTTCCGATTAATATCTCTGCTTAGAAAACCTACAAAATTCCCCTTTGAGAACAAGATAAAGTTAGAATGATCATTTGACAGTTAAGAATGTCCACAACCTGACACCATCAAGCTTGGATCTTTATTTGTCTGCTTTAGAGGAAGAAAACATGGATTCAAATCCTGGCTCTATCGTTTACCAACAATGTCATTGTGGGCAAGTAAATTAACTCTTTGGGCTTCAGTTTCTTCACCTGAAAAATGAGGATAACACTACTAACTTTACACAGTTCTTTTAAGATAATATATGTAAAGAGACTGGTAGAGCATCTTTCACAAGGTACTCAATAAATGATAGCCATTATGCTGTTATAAAAAAAACTCACCTACTCCTCTCACCTATCAAAATCTTACCCATTCTTAGAGCTTAGGTCATAACTAACTTTGTCCACAAGATCTTACTCTGAACAGCTCAGCTTTAAGCGACTTTTCAGAGAGACTCCATCAAAAAAATACTACTTTTTTTAACCTTTGAACATCTCTAGCCCATACACTTACTTTGCATCTCTCTGCAACATTTATCCTACTTTATCACAAGATATATTTAATAGTTATAAATATCTTCATTGTGAAATACAAGCTTTTTCTGAGCAATTACTGGGTTATACATACTTTGTGTTCCTGCCTTGCATATAGCAGAGACTAAGTAAATATCTGCTGAATATTACTGTTTCACCTGCCAATATTGAATGACTATTTTTGAATTTACAGAAGAGATTGACGCTCATCTGATCAGACTGACTCTTTCTGAAGAAAGTAAATTGCTTCCATAACTATTTGCTTAATATGACATGTCCAGTGATTCAATTTTATGACCAATATGTTGATAATTGCCATAGTTGAAGAGTTTATTTCCCTATAATAGTATATTCTTCATATTTTATTTTTAAACCTCAAACATTTACTCTAGCAAGAGTGGCTCAATACCTATCAAATCACTTTTAGGAATAACCATGAAGGAAACATAAGCTAAAAGAGTGACTTCACCTTCTCCCATTCTATGATTTTAGAGCTAAGCCAAAGACTCAAATTTTATTTTCATTAAATAAATACTTTAAGATATATTTTAGTCTACTTGAAATTTTGACCAAAAAAAAACTTCCAAAGACATAAAGGTAAATTATACAAATATGAAGTGTAAAAACAGTATTTCCAACACTGTGATTTTAAATGGCTTTGAGTGGTTTTTTAAATGATTTTAGAAATTTTTAAATGTTGATCTCTAATTCCCACCTATACAACAAAAGAAATTCAGGGCTGAAAAATTCAGTCTATTATCTCACAGTTTCGTTTATGTGATATTAAACAAGTGCCTTGGTTGTTTTTTTTTTTTTTTTTCCCCTCCCCACATTGAATTGACTGATAACTGGTTCTCCTTGTGTTAGGCAAGGGGAGCTTTAATTAACCCATAAATATAAATTGACCATATCACTAAGGACAGTCAATGATTCATTACACAATAATCTCTATCTAAAGTAAGTTTTACACCCTATTTTAATCTATTTGATGCTATTTTGCTGTGATAATATTTAATAGGCATATTTTAATGTATTTTTCTTTAATCTACCATATATTTATATCCTTCTCTTAACATGACTATGCATTCTCCTACGGTTTTCAAAATATAAATATATTATCTATACTTAGCAGTTGAATTACTGATTGAATTTCAACTGAACAAGAAAAACAAATAGTTTGCCCACTACTTAACCAGAATGAAGTAACCTTTTAGCCTACCAGTTGAAGAACAAAAGCACAATATTTGAGCCAGGGTTACATTCTGGCAGATGTGTTACAGCAACCATAAATTCACTTACCGTGCCAGAATGCATTTCTGTGACAGATTTTATCTGTTATGTATTGTTTGGTCCAGAGAACTCTCTTTAAAATGTACTTTAAAGAGAGTTTAAAATGTAAGTTAGCGTATTAAGAGATACTAAACAAAACAAAACAAAACAAAAAAACTTACGGGAGGTCCAGTGTCTCCTTTTGGCCCTCTCAGATACTCCATTTCGAGCATTGTATTTAGATCCTCATAATAATAATAATCATAAAGCTCAGTTTCATAGCTATTTTCGATGGGATAAGTAGCATCAGGATAAAATTCACCTTCTTTCCTTAGATCAAGGTGATTATCCACAGACGGTTCATTTGACACTCTGTACAAGCTTGTGTTTAAAATCGGTTGCATTTCCATGAGTTCATTAGTATGTAGATTTGCTGTGATAGCCTTCTTGAGATTGGTAATTGTATCTTGTGTTATTTGTGGAAGAATAGATGGCATCTTCTTAAACAGTGACAGACCAGTTACTCTATCATCATGTTGTGTGATACTGTCAGATATGTTTGGAAGAGAACTAAATTTCTCTTTGGTATTCATTCCTGCCTCACTGATGCGATGAGGGGTCACTGACAGGCTTACATCTGTCTGAGTATCTTCCTCAGTGATCATTTCTTTGGCCTGAATCCCATGGTTTGGGAGATCCACAGCAGAGACATTTCCTGACTGAAGAGAAGATAACTGAGATCTTGATATCTGCTGTTCTCGTTTTTTATACACTGTTTCAGAATCATTATTTATGATATTTGCAATACTTCTGCCTTCAGTAAATGTATCCTCTGACAGTACTTTTTCAGCAAATCGTTTGGGCGGGGGAGAGTGTTCCAGTATCTTAGCTGGTATCAGAGTTGTATGAGGAAGGTTTGTTTCAGGTTGGTATTTGTCTGCTTGGCGACACTGCTGTTTCACGTATCTGCAGTAGTCTGCAGATGCTTCTGCAGAAGGAATAATATCTAACTGACATACTATTCCTTCAAAATGGACAGAATTATTATTCATACTTCCTAAAGTAAACACACTATTAGAATCAAAGGTCTGCACTTCTGAAATAGTCTCTGTGCTAAAATATTTCTTTCCACACTCAACAAACATTGAGACACTTTGGTTTCTAACAGTAATGGCAAATAAATGCCATTGCTCATCATGAACACTGTAGTTGAAAACTACAGCCTGCTTTCCTCTAATGTGTACTACTAATTTTTTAGGTAGTAATTGCACTCCTAATTGCAGTCTATTTTTATTTCTAATGCTGAAGAGAAATGCATTGTTCACCCGATGTGACTGTAACCCAGTTAATATTGTAAACGGCCGCCCTAAGTTGACTGGTAAAATTTTCATGAAAGGTGTCTCAATATAAGCATCATTTTTTAAAATGACGCCTGATTCTGTTAAATGGACCCCCTGAGGTAATGGTGTAGATGATGCTGGTACAGCAGTCGCTGATGATGAGTGTCTTACATCTTTGCCTCCAAGGCCTAGTTGATGAAGAATATCTATGCCTGGAAATTTAAAAAAGAGAGAGAGAAAGAATCTTACTTTTATGCATTCATGTGTTCATATAAATGTTTGAATATGAGGAAATCTTCGTTGTAGCAACAGTAATTTCTAAAATAACCATGTTCTATCAATAACTAATTACGGGTAATGAGAAATAGGGAGGAGGAGAATAAGACATTATACTCAATAATTTGAATAAAGTACATGCTCCTCCCCCTACACACACACCAATCTCTAAACCCAAAACTTATTTATTATTAGTTTATTTATTATTTTGGAGACAGGGTTTCCATCTGTTACTCAGGCTGGAGTGCGGCAGCATGATTATAGCTCACTGCAGCCTTGAACTCTGGGGCTCAAGGGATCCTCCCACCTCAGCCTCCCAAGTAGCTGGTACTACAAGGGCATGCCATCATACCTGGCTAATTTTTGTATTTTTCATAGAGACAGAGTTTTGCTCTATTGCCCAGGATAGTCTTGAACTCCTAGGCTAAAGCAATCCTCCCACAGCACTGGGATTACAGGTGTGAACCACCACACCTGGCCTCCAAAATTTAATTAGTTTAGCTCTCTTGGTTTCCATTTGACTAGGATTCTTATTTGTTACTTCAATGAATATACATGTTCAAAGATTCCCAGATGCCATTTGGTTCTTTAATTTAGAACTTAAAATTTAATGACATCTATGTTAAAGTGAAACTGGAGTCATACTTCCAAAGATAATTGTGATTTGGAAAGCATTTTATAAATTAGATTCACAAGATCCCTTAAAGTATAATTTTTCAGGCTGTTTTTCCTTCTAACCTTCTGGGAATTTACAAGTTGCATGGAAGCTTTCCCAATGCCTACTATCTTAAGTGTGTACTACACTTAAAGTACTCTGGTTACCAAAGTCCTTTGATAATTCCTGGATAAAAGAATTTAAATTCATTTTATTGGCAATCACTCTGCTTTTTCTGTTCCTTCCAAGCTTCTCTTTCTTCCACTTTTTTCCAGTCCTCCAGAGTAACTTTTATCCAACTTTTAGACTCTTTCAATATCTATTATTGAATATGCATTTTACATAATACGGATTTGATATAATTATGGATTCATCTGGTTTATTATTCATTGTAATATTACCAATAGTATATTGTTTGTCTCCTTTACCCAATTAAAAGCTTCTGGAAAACTGGATCTGTCTGATTCATTATTAGATCTCTTCAGCACCTGCCTTGCAAATAGTCCTGTAATTTCTGAATGAATAAATTTGCCCCACAGCAATCTGACCAGGGCTCATATTCACCTCTGGAGTGATATAAATTTAAATATCACTTATAAAGAATGACAAATTCTGTCTTTAAAATACAGATTGGCAGAGTCAGCTGTATGATCTTTATTATTCTTTGGGTTATAAATTTCCCATCTGTATCTTTGCATAAATATAATCATCTCCAATCAGAAATGTTAGAGAATTGTGATAAGTGAAAAAAATAAAAGTTTTTGAAGATTAGCCAGGAACATTTGGCATCACCTTACTTTTTCCTTTTGTAGGAAATTAGTAGATATTTGATAATGCATGCTTATTACAAATAACAAAAGATAAGGGAGAATCTCAGTTCCCATATCTCACAACTGTGTACAACAATGAAATTACTGAATGCCATTCCTGTGTAATCTAGCGATGCAATTTAAATGTTTTCTAACAGAGATCTTCGCAAAACACTCAAGTGTTTTAAGGTTAGAACAACCATCATTTTATCAATAAAATAGTTGTAATTTCATGACAGTTTTAAAGGATAAAAACATTTATATCTACGATATTGTAAGACAGAGTGTCTCAAACTTTTCCACCAAAATATTCCTAACACCAGTGTAGAATTATATGCACCTCCAGGAATTTAGGGAAATATTTCAAAGAGTCCCCATATAATCACCAAAAAAAACCTTTGACTTCTTATGTTTTATCATCATAATTCATGCAAAATTTAAACTTTAATCCATAATATGTCTGGTTGTTTCAATATACAATATACATTACTTAGGAGCTAAATCAGCTAATTGTACTCATCCCCAATCTTCAGTGAAAATTTACAGTGCTGAAACTAGCTATGTTAGTCTGTGACATTGGATATCCTCACCCAGGGTTACCTAACTCTAAGGGTATGCCTAGCTCAATCTGAGAAGTAAACTATGGAAGGAACACTGCTTCTGTGGAAATCACAATGCTTAAATTTAAAGTATATATGATCATAAAGTATCAGAAAGCTATAATTCTGAGATACCAGATAAACTACATATATAAAAAAGAATCATACATGTGTTATATCAAGGGCTGCATGCTGCCCCAGAAACATCTCCCCTTGCATTTATCAAGAACCCCTGCCATCTAGTGCTTCAAATTTCTGATCCTATTACACAGAAATATTATCGGGAAGAGTATTATTTGAAAACTTTAAAAAGCATATATGTGTTTTCAATGTTTCTTTATATGTATGTTTCCTCCAATTCTATTTTTAGTGGAGCTTTCATGACAAATAATTGTTTTATAAAAATCAAATGTGTTTGAACACTTATTACTGAATAGAATAAATTTCCTGTTATTGAACCATGATTGCATCCCTAAAAAAAAATCTTATTAGTTTTACGGTATTCTCTTGATACCTCGCTGGATTATTGACTAATAATTTTATGTAGAATCACTGCATCAATATTTATGAGTTGACTGGTCAGTGTTTTTCACTTATTGTCTTACCTTTATCAGACAATAATACTGAAATTTCATTATTTTCTATAGCCTAAAACAATTTCAGTAACCTTTGAAATTACATTTTTCCCCAAAAAGTTACAAAAACTGACCTCTAAACCAAATTGATAATGTTGGCTCTTTCACTGATAGCGCTTCATCCACTTTCCTAATCTCTTCTATGTTAATTGATTTATTCTAATTTTCAACTGCATCTTGAGACGATTTTAGAAATTTACATTTTTTCTGTGAAATAATAAATTTCCTCTAGGCTTTCATATGTATTACCCAGAAATCTTCACATAATTAATAATCTCTTACAATTATTTTTGTTTTCCTCTGCCTGTGGCCCTCTGTCTCATTTTTCCAATTTTGAATATTTTGCTCTATTTATTCTTAAGTCGGTGTCATTATTGGTCATTTCAAATCTATACAGCCTTCAGATTTGTTTATCTACTATTTTTTTGTTTGTTTTCTATATCATTAACTTTAGCATTTATCTTTATTATGTCTTCCCATTTTATTTTGTTATTTTTCTTTTCTTCCTTGATAATGAAGGCATTTAAGCTATACATTTTCCTGAGTGCTGCTTTAGCTGCATCTCCTAGATTTCGATATGTAGCATTTGCATTTTTGTTGTTTTCTGGAAAGTATTTTTATTTGTATTTTCTCTTTGACCCAAATGGTTTAAGAAAAAAGTTTTATATTTTCAGTTGGAAAGGTCTTTTTGTTTTCTTATTTTTGTTATTAAAATCTAACTTAATAGCATTATGATCAGAGAATGGTGTCTAATCAGCACTTTCTTTTTTAAAACTCAATTAGCCTCATGAGTGATCAATTTTCAATAACATTTCATAAGCACTTGGAAAGGTGTTTCAAGGCAGAAAATTTAATACATACCAGTTGTACATCATTGTTTATGTAATTTATATCCTCTATATTCTTGTTTATTTTTATACAATTAATCTGCCACCAACTGAGAGGTAAAGTCTCTTACCAGTAGTGTGTCTATTTGGTCTTTTCTCTCTTGTGGTCTTTGCTTTATGAATATTGATGTCATGGTTTTTATGCACAGATAATCATACAGTTCACATATTTATTGAGTACTGCACCTTTCAGAATTACAAAAAGAACTTCTATATCTAGTTTATTGGGTTTTTTTTTTTTTTTGGCGTTACCTTAACTGGTGGTAAGACTAAGCTTCCCTCAATAGACTTTCTTTTTGTTTACATTTGTCTGATACACCTTTGCCTTTGTTTTTGTTTTCATCTACTTTGAAACGCTGTGCTTTAGGTAAAGAAAAAGGGTTTGTATTTGTTTTTTTATCCAATCTGAATTTTTTCTTTGAATATATAAACTAAATTTATCTACATTTGCTAATACGATGGTTTGTTTAATCTGTTGTATTATTTTATGTTTTACCACTTTAATTTTTTGAAGTCTTTCACTATGTAGTTTGTTTCCTTTGCTTTGCTTTGTATATGTCTTTTGAGATTTAGAAGGGTTTGTATTTTTATTCTAAGGCTTTCCTTTAAAATTTCAAATGTATATGATACCCCTAGTCCTTTCATTAGACATATCTATTACTTCTTTCCTTTGAACAATGTTTTATTTTCCTCCCTTTAACCCTTTCCCATACCCTCTAATATTAGTCAGTAGGAGTATCTTTCTTAGTGTTTATCTTTTCATTGTTAAATATCCTTATATTTCTTTCATCTAATTTACCAACCGTATAATATTTAATGCCTAGCTTCTTCAGATACGGCAATCAGCAAAATTAATCTACTCTCCACATGTTTACTCTCTTCTCCTACTATTTTTCTGTAATTGTACCATTCCTACATTATTAGTTTGTATGGCATTTATATTTTTCCTTTTCCCACATTTTCTTTTGACAAATAGAGCTGGACTTTTGTAGTAGCTTCTCCAATCACTTCTCTTTGGCTGAAGTTTATCCTCTATTAGTTTCCTCAAGAAGGGTTTATGGGAACATTTCCCGAGTGTTGTTCCTTTTCAGAATTGATATTTTGTAGACTTGTACCTTAAATTTCGTGGGATATAAAATTATTTCATGATACTTTATTTCCTTGAATATATTGCAGCTATAGTTCCATGGTTCTCAGGTGGTCCTTCTAAATCTGAAGTCAGCTAAATATTTTTCTCCTTATAAGTGACTCCGTATTTTTACCAACATTCTTGAAAGAGTTGTTCTTTATCTCTGAAATGCAGTAATTTTATTAGAATATGGCTCCATATTGACCATTCTTGATAAATGTT